ACACTGAGACTGGACAACAGCTAGTTCTTCCAGGACTTGATCATTATTTCAAAATTTTCAGGGTCCCCTAAAGATGCCATCACCCCCAGACAACAGAAAATAATTTTAAGAACATGACACCTGCTGGGCAGTGGTGACGCATACCTTTAATCCCAGCACTCGGGAGGCAGAGCCAGGCGGATCTCTGTGAGCTCAAGGCCAGCCTGGTCCACAGAGTGAGATCCAGGACAGGCTCCAAAGCTACACAGAGAAACTCTGTCTTGAAAAATAAAAAAAAAGGAACATGACACCCACATTCCAAAGAGGTGGGGTAGGTGGTTTTTGGTCATTCAGTGGTTGCTTGCTAGTTATTGGTTATAGTCAGGAAGGAAACTAAGCAAAGGAGATTAAATTCAGGGATCTCGTTCTGAAAAGCAAAAGGACAGATATGGGAATGATAGGATAAAGGGATAGATTACTGAATTTACTTTTAAACTAAAACAAAAAAAAACAACTAGTAGTCTCATGTTTTACATTGGTATGGATTTTTGTATATATATATATAAACTTAAGGTTGTTTTTGTTATACTGTATATATTTGTATTCTTGTTTAAGGTATTGTACCTATACAGCTCATTTAACAAAGTAATTTAAAGTTCTAGTCCTTAAAAATTATTATTGCAAACTATTTAGAATAATAAAGAAATGCAGGTTAGTAGTTAGTTATCTATATCAATCAAATTTGTACCCATGTGAGGTATGTTTTCAAAGTCAAACAGAGATATAGTTTAGATAGACAGGAGGTCTTCAAACACTTCAGAGACCTACAGAATATGGCATTTAAGATGTTTTAATAACATAAGGCTTTTCATGACAGTGAGACACATCTGTTCCTGGCAGCACCAGGAACACTTCAAAAAGGGATGATAGGCATTGAAGAACCCCCATGTGGAGTTTGCTTTCATTGTGGCAAAGTTAGCCACTGGGCAAGAAACTGCCTTCTCCTCGACTTGCTGACAGTGTGCTGTCTAAACTGGACAAGTGTGACACAGAAGAAGGCAAGTGCCAAACTTTGCCAAGACAAGGTGGGACAGTCCTTCAAAATTCCTGCTTCAAATAAAAGTCTGTCAAATATTCTAGGCCTGTAGGCTGAAGATGGATGCCCCAATGTTGCAGAGGAACCTTGGATGACTTTCCAGGTAGCCAGATGTCTCTGTCATTTCTATAGTTTGGGCAGTTGTTTGCTTGGTACTTCCTGTTTACTCAGGTAATATTGTATCTTTCTCTGGTCTGATGGGTTAAAGACTAGATAGTTATAGTTACAATTTTCCTTGTTACCAAATTTAGAAAAGAAACTCACAAAAGTGATGTAAAGTGTATAAGGTTGAAAGACATAAATGCTTAAGTCATAATCTAAGAAAATGTTTTAAGGTCTTCTAAAAAGATATTTCTAGGTTGATAATACAAGTTATGATAGAAAGTAAATTAGGTACAAAACCTTGCACTCACTAACATGGAATAGATAATGGAGTATTTTCTCCAAATTTGCCAAATACAAATGGACTGGACATTGTGAATGTAATTCTTACTTGATAATTGTTCTTATTGTATATAGTTTCACTTTGTTAAAGTTAAAACCTCTCCTTTTTATTTAGACAAAAAGGGGGAAATGTTGTGGGACATTTGTTCACACTGACACTCCAAGACAGACAATAAAGTTTCTTTTGAATCAGAGGGCAGAGTTAGTGACTAGCTGACCAGAATTAGCCATACATGTGTTAGAGGACCCAGGATACAAATAGAGAGACACAGGGAGTAGTAGGGAGGGGCTTAGAAAGATTTGTGGGCCTTTTTGGATCAGGGAATGAGAGAGAGAGGAACTCACTGGCTGCTTCTCTGCTGCTTCTCTGATCAATCAGGGTTTTATCCTGATATCTGATTCCTGAGTTTTATTTAATAATAGAACAATATAAGTAAATGCTTCAGCACCCCATGGAATGACTACTCCACATGCTATGTGGTAACGGCACCTGTGAGTTGTCAGAAGCTTTGATATCAATTATTTAATGTGCTTTCCCTAGAGATAATCATCTTCATTTTGCAGACGGAAACTCCTCAGACGAGTCAATGAATCCCTTCAAGGTAAACAGAAACACAGATTCTACTTTGCACAAGTCTTAGCTGTGCAATGCTATCAATTCCCTGAGTGTCATTAAACTGTACAGTAAAAATGATAATGTTCTTATAATAAGAAAACAAGTTATGTGTAAAACATCTAGCACAGAGCTCTGCATGAGAAGCTCTCAAAAATGTCAGTCCCGCTTCTTCACTCTGCATGTGGTTCAGTCATGGTACTCTTTACAAACACACTCTCTCTCTGTCTCTCTAAGACAAAGACTAAATAGTCCCAGCTGGCCTGGCACTATGTAGCCCAGGCTGGCCTCAAACTTTTGGCTATCCCCCTGCCTCAAACTCCTGAGTGCTGTGATTACAGACATGAGCCAGCCACCACCCAGCTTTGTGTCACTATTTCTTTTTCATTTTTTCCTTCTTCTTCTTCATTTTTATTTTTATTTTTTATTTTTTATTTAAAGACAGAGTTTCTCTGTGTAGCCCTGACTGTCCTGGAACTCAATCTGTAGACCAGGCTGGCCTCAAATGCACAGAGATCCACTTGCCTCTACCTCCCAAGTGCTGGGATTAAAGACATGTGCAACCACGTCTGGCATACTACTATTTCTTAACACCTTCTCACAAGTGCTTTGACAGATAAATTTTTAAATATGAGGTGTGTTGTGGGGGGTGACTACCACTTGATACCAAATAAGAAACTTCAGTGAAGGCCAGCTATCTTACATAATTTTAAGTAGAACAAACTTCCTTCTTTTTGCCCATATGGCCTATCACTCTATCAAAGTTGAAAATAAAATTGGTCTACCAAGATTTGTTCTTTATAAAATTATGCATAATGTTCCCCAATACCTTCTGTTCTTTTAGGTAATTGCCAAATAATTTACTTGATTTGTTCTAGTTTTGATCAGACATAATGCAAAAATTAAGTTGACCATAGCATTTCCAAAGCTATCTTTTCCACTTAAAAATATTCTTGATCTGCCATAAGCTACCTCAACACAACATGATGTCTCAAAATGAAAGGATCACAGTTTGTCACTGGGTTCTTTCCCTACACATTTGCATGGAGAGAATTCAAGGCATGATTCACGGCACTGTGATCACAGCAGTTAGATTCTCCTGTCACTGGGCCTTCACTTAGATAAAAAACGTTAGAAAGCAGCATGGGCCCCTGTAAGCAAAATTGCTGCATAATTAACCTTTTTGTTTCTTGGACATCAAAGATGCCATGAAGCACACACTCAGCTTCCAAGTACCATTTACAATATGCTGTGTCTGATAGCCATCTGGAAGTAGATGCTAAAAGCCAAAGAAATTTAGTTTTTGAGGGTTTTTTGTTGTTGTTGTTGTGACTATTGTTTTGAGATACTGTAGCCTAGGCTAGCCTAAGAGTTCCATCATCCCTGCTGCCTGGGGCCCCCAGTGAGTGCCATGATGATAGGCGCGAGCCTCACATCTGACTCTCAAAGGGAATTTTTTTCAACCAAATGTTGCCTTCTCAAAGTCACTACTTTCCCGTCAGACTAAAGCCACACTGGAAGGTTACACTCGGAAGCACTGGAGGAAACATCTGCAGCAGGGAATAATCCAGTGTTTGGCACAGTGAAGGGACACTGCCAGTTTTTCACAGTATGAACTCAAGAACTTCTCCAAGTCCAACATGAGGTCTGGACATGAGCAGCCTCTGCTGAGGAGCAGGAGCTGAGATAAAATGCAACAGCCTGTTAGAGAGTGAAGAGCACAGGCACGGTGTGAGAATCCAGGTGTGGCCTGTCACGTGACTGCCGAGTAAGAGAGCACTGGCCTGAGACAGGACTCCAGGCTTCAGTCACTCCTTTATCCAAGATGTCTGCCTTGACCCTTCAGGGGCTCTTGAGCTAACTTGAGGAAAAATGATGAAGGACGGAACTTTTGCTGCTTGAGTTCAGCTATTAGTAATCAGTATTATTTGTCCCACTAACTTATGAGTCTGATGCAATAAATGCAACCATTAGAGCATTGCTCAAAACTTAAAGAATAGAGAAATGCGTATTTAAAAACTTGTAAGCATGTCAGATGAGGTCATTTTGACAGGTGCTAGTCAAACACATACCACTGACAGAGTAATTTAGTGCTATTTTCTTAATTTCTTATGGAAATACATTTATCAACAAAGATCAAGTTTTATTATCTATTTGATTCTACTAGTTTCGCTTTGCTTTTATAATTTAATAAATAAATCCAATATAAGTAAATCCACTTCACTAAAATGTGAAAGTACTGGGGCTGGAGAGATGGCTCAGAGCATGTATTGCTCTTCCAGAGGACCTGAGTTCAATTCTAGCACCCATCCATCAGGTGGTTCACAACTACCTATACTACATTCACGTGTACACACACACACACCGACACAATTTAAAAAGCTAAGTGAAACTCCAGAATTCTATCTCACAAAACATCAGTCTCGGGCTGGAGAGATGGCTCAGAGGTTAAGAGCACCGACGGTTCTTCCAGAGGTCCTGAGTTCAATTCCCAGCACCCACATGGTGGCTCACAACCATCTGTAATGAGATCTGGCACCCTATTCTGTATACATAATAAATAAATAAATCTTTAAAAAAAAAATCAGTCTCTCATGTCTTATATCCAGAATGTTTCGATATTACCTCAAAAGACTTAATATATATATTTTGTTTGTTTGTTTTTGTTTTTTTGAGACAGGGCCTCAAACTCACAGAGATTTGCCTGCCTCTGCCTCCCGGGCTTAATATTTAATCCTTCAGCTTTCAGTAAGTTTTACAAAATGAGATTAACTTCTCATCAACATACACTTAAGAAAACTAAACACGTCAGTGATTTCAAACAAAACCTCACTGTCATAACATGATCCAGGAGATGTCTCAACTGACCTCGTCTCCCTTCAGAACCTCAGCGCCATCAAATTCCCGGGTCTGGTTGGTCTTCACCGACACTTCTCTCTCTAGGCTGGCTAACTTCTCCTTGGTCTCCTGAAGTTCCTCGGCTTTGGCTTCTTTTTTACGAGAAATGATGGATGCCTAATTGGATATTGAATATGAAAATAAAGTAAGAAATATATTCAGTTTCCTGTTACCTTGTGAAATGATCTAGTCTTTGGATTTTCATCAATGTAAATTGTCAGTATCAGCTCTGCTGCTCCTGACCAACACTGCTGGCTCTGCTGTCCATTCTCATCAGTATTCACCATGAGCAAAATGTGTATTGTCAAACTCAAAACATTTTGAAAGACAAATGCCGGAAAAAAAAAAAACAACAACCCACTAAAATCCAAATATGCAACAGTAAAAATATCCAAGCCTTCTTCAGTAGCTCTGAAGGGCACTGAAAACACCTTCCAGGGAGTATACAGAATAAGACCCATCCATTGTTTGTCTGCACGGTAGGTTTTCACTCATTGGAAGAAAATAAGAATAAATATTTTCAGAACTACAAGGCAGTTCAGCTCACTAAAGTCAATACCAATATTTTAAAAATAAAAAGGCAAAATATCTACTACATATGATACATTTAAAAAAGATTTAAAAAATATTTGTCATGCATATGTGTGTCTGTCTCAGTGTTTGCATGGCACCACGTGTGTACATAAGCTCTTGGAGGTCAGAAGAGGGCATTGACGTGGGAGTTATAGGAGGTTGTCAGTTGCTATGTGGGTGCTGGGAACTGAATTGGGGTCTTCTAGGAGAGCAGTAAGTGCTCTTAACCACTGGACCATCTTCCCAGCCCAAGATTTATTTATTTTTATTTGTATTGTGAGTGTGTGTGCGAGCGTGTACGTGTGCGTGTGCGTGTGCGTGTGTGTGTGTGTGTGTGTGTGTGTGTGTGTGTGCGTGAGCATGTGTGCTCGAATGCCATCTGTATGTAGATGCCCACGGAGACCGGAAGGCGTTCAATTTAAATCCCCTGGAGCTGAAGTCACAGGCGATTGTGAGCTGCCTGACCTGGATGCTGGGAACATAACTGGGGTCCTCTGCAAGAGCAGCAATTGCTCTTAACTGCAGAGCCATCTCTCTAGCATTTTAATAAATAAGACGTAGGTTAAAAGTTAAACACCAGGAGGCTGGAGAGATGGCTCAGAGGTTAAGAGCACTAGTTGTTCTTCTAGAGGTCCTGAGTTCAATTCCCAGCAACTAGATCTGATGCCCTTTTCGGATGCATGCAGACAGAACATCATATATATATATGAATATATGAAATATTTTTTTAAAGTTAAACATCAGAATCATCAGAATTGTGCATGTGTTTACATAATCCAAATGGCTTCTCTTAAAAGTAAATGAGCATTCATGTGAGCTAGAACTCTGGAAAATTACCTTTATTTCTCTTTCTTTTCCTTCCTTCCTCTCTCCCTCCCTTTTATTGATTGATTGAGACAGGGTTTCTGTATGTAGTCGTGGCTATCCTGAAGCTCACTATGGATGGCCTTGAACTCACAGAGATCCTCCTGCCATTGCCTTCTGAGTGCTAGGATTAAAGGTGTGGGCTGATACCATTAAACCCAGCCCTGGGGAATTTTCTTAGATGAATCACAATGTTCATGTTTCTGAAGAATATCGGCCAATTGTGGCACAGACAAATACCATAGAGTAAAACAAATGTGACAGAAGGGTACTGTCTAGTACAAACCCTTTAAAAATCTATTTTTCTTTTTATTAAAAAATAACTAAAAAGAGAGGCAAGGAAGGAGTGTTTCCCCATATGCAAGTACTCCATGTTAAAAGACAAGGAAGTGAAAGCTGGGCGGTGGTGGCGCACGCCTTTAATCCCAGCACTCCGGAGGCAGAGCCAGGCGGATCTCTGTGAGTTCGAGGCCAGCCTGGTCTCCAAAGCGAGTTCCAGGACAGGCGCAAAAGCTACACAGAGAAACCCTGTCTCAAAAACCAAAAAAAAAAAAAAAAAAAAAGACAAGGAAGTGAAGTAGCACTCTGGGGGGTCTGTGGTGTAGGCAGGTAATAGAAACAGAAACTTCAGCCCAAGCTGCAGAGCTCAGAGCTCACAGAACGGAGAAACATGATCCCTCCAGATCAAAGTGCCCTATATCCAACAGTTCATCTCCCTATATCCAACAGTGTTGAAGCTATTAGTTAACTCCAACAGTCAAGGAGCAGAAGAATTTGAAAGTTGGAAGCTGTATAACATATAATTATATCTTTTGAAAAATGGACAGCAAAGTTATAGTTAACAAATCAATACTTAATCTGAGAGTGTCCAAAGGTTTTTGACTCACACCATCTCACATAAACGTGTCGTTTAGAAGACAGAACTGCACATTCACAGAAACGGGCACGCTGCTGCCCTCCTGGTGTCTCTGTTATAATGTGCAGGTTAGCCATGACAGAAAGCCTTTGTTCTGTGCTTCCTCCTCATCTTACAGACAGCATGGCCTTCCCCACAACCTACAGACTTAAGTAAGTGCGCCAAGACAGAGGCCCTACCTGCTGCCGATACAGTGAGAGCTTGCCTTCGATCGGCTCATTTCTCATCATTTTCTTCTCAATCAACTGGTTGATCTCCGTGTTTACTTCATTGACCTAAGAGGACAAAAGTGAGACATGTTCAAACTCTCCCCGTGAGAGCCAGGAGTGGTAGTGCACACCTCAAACTCCAGCACTAGGGAGGCTGAGGCAGGAGGATAGATATTTCAAAGTCAGATTCTGCTATACAGTGGAATTCTCTCAAAAAAACCGACCAACCAATCAAACAAGCAGACAAGCATACAGCCCTCCCCGTGATCATGTAAACTAGTGAACTCAGTAGAGACACCAGGCACACTCAGCTTGTTTACAGTTCTCACCATTTCTGAAGTCATGAGGAGCAGAGTTCCAACTACTGTAGGAGGGGACTTTTATGAGCACTTTTAGAAACAACTTAAATTTAATAGCAATATTTGTACAATTTGATTACTTCTACAGATGGAGTCCGACGTGCCTACATGATCCTGAAGTATTTATAGGAACTATTCTTACATTGTTATGTGGAAGGTACATTCTACAAACCTGAAGTTACCCATATACCTCGGCTCTGACTTACAAGTCACTAAGTCACCATGTAAATCCAGACAGACATTCCCCAGAGGCAGAGTACAGGGAGTTCACGAACCCAGCTGAAAGCTGACCTGGAACATCCAAAACTCCTACTATCCTAAGGGTCCGTGGCCCTTTGATAGGTATTATTTACACTGATCACTGATCATTAACCCTTTCTAAAGTAATAAAACTGACTAACACCAGCCTCTCAACAAGGAAACAAAATAAAACATGGCTCCCAGTATATCCATCCTTCCAAAGACGAGGCTCTCCTTTAAGCTGTGACCTCAAATTTAAGTCATATCTGACTTGGACGTCTATGTTGTCTAAGTAAATTAACAGAGCTATATGGTTAGAATTAGACATTTAATTATAGAGACTATTAAATAAATTAAAGAACCAGCAAATAAAAACCTTTCAATCAATTTTCATAACTTTTAAAAATGTACAACTGAGCAGTGTTTTATTTATAGGGAACAAAATGTTGTAATACGTTACCAGAGTCAGCGAGCACTGAAATAAAATCTAGTCAAAGCACACACAAAAAGCTTTAAATATAAAACTTCCCTATTAAAACTAAACCCAAATCTGATATTCTATTATGGTTATTCTGAAGCAAGAACACAACATTCTAGAATTTTCACAAGGACAAATCATCAGCAGAGCTGTCAGCCCTTAGCCCAGGCTAGCTCTAGAGTCACGAGTAGGAACCATGCAAGTACTCTTCACAGGACAGACAGGGCTGGGAATTAGAAGGTGATTGTCACTTACTTTAGACTCCAGTTCGAGAAGGTCAGATTGGCCCATAGCTGGCTCAGAAACCACTTTTTGTAAAAAATGTAATTCCTTTTTCTTGCTTTCTAATTCTTTCGGGAATTTTTCAGTGACCATATATGAATTAAATTTTATCTCCTCCTCTAGCCTCTTCATTAAACCTTTAAAAAAAAAAAGTAAACGAAAGTTTAGTTCCGGTCAGATCTACACAGAGAAACCCTGTCTTGAAAAACCAAAAAGAAGAGGGGTGGAAGAGGAAGAAGAAGAGAAGAAAGTTTAGTTCAAAAGTGTAAGTGCTATGATACTCTGCACTCTGCTTTAGAGGTAAGGCATGGGCAATGAGGCTGTGTGTTAAAGCAGCATCTATACAGTACCATAAAAGATCACGGAAATTAGTGATGAGTATAAATTAGTTAATTAGTATGAGTAGAAATCACAATTTACATAGAAGAATATTTAGATAATTATAGTAAAAGTGATGTTATGATCATTTTAACTCTGTAACCTAATTCCTAATTACAAACTCCGCACAAGTGACCGTTACAGAATCAGATCTCTCAGTTTTCTACTCTGCCTTCTAAGTATTTAAGAAGCCAGTGAGTCAAATGAAATCTACCCAGGTCTTCTTCTACACAAAAGACATTTTAGTCTTTTTTCCTTTTCTTTGTTCTTTCTTTTTCTTTTTTGCTGTTTGTTTGTTTTTTTGAGACAGTGTCTCTATATAGTCCTGCCTGTCCTGGAACTGACTCTATAGACCAGGCTGGCTTCGAACTCACAGAGATCTGCCTGCCTCTGCCTCCTGAGTGCTGGGATTAAAGGTGTGGGCCACCACTGCCCGGCTCTGGCTTGACTTTTAAAAACCATGAGCTTCCAGCATAAGTAATCTATGTATGAAGATTGCATAATAAATATGGCCCAACGCCTTAAAATTATTTTTAGTTCTCTTGTACAAATAGAACATGCAAATGTTATTAATGCAAATTCACAAGTTTTCCGTTCATTCTTTCAATGTCCCCCATCCCCGCCCCTTTTGAGGTCTGGAAAAAGGAAGGTTTAATGAATCACAGTCTACTAGGGACTCATTCCCAGGCATTTTCTCACGAACGCTTTGGCTACATGGGGACCAGCCTTCTCATCTCCAGGTACTTCACACTTCCTATAAGCAAAGGTGCATGGAATCGAAGCCTAAAATATTATTTGAATGGAAAATTCTTAAGTATTATTTTTCTATTTTAAAAAGTTTTGAAAACACAAACTAACCCTACAGTGACAAAAAGTATATCGATGATTGCTTGGAGAAGGGGAAGGGCCCTGAGGGAGACATCACAAAGGCCACAAAAAAATGTTCAGAGTAGGAGCATGTCTGCGATCTTGATCAAAGGCTGATGGTAGTCTGGGAATAGAGCTCAGAAGTAAGACAGAGTGTCTGCCCAGCATGCATGAGTAATGAGAAAGGAATCCTAGGCCCCAGTTCCTACCCACTCACAAAATGTATGCATTACATATAATATTTTATTTTTATCTCTATTTCAGCCAATTTTTCCTGACTTGATTTTCCCTTCCTGTCTGTGGAAAAGATTGTGGGTTTTTTTTTTCATGCAAGCTTAAGCTCAACTCCCATTTCCTGTTGCTTAACGGTTTCCTAGAAACTGTACATTGAAGCACTACATCTTGCAGGAAGGCTCCTTAAGCAAGAAGGATAAACAACTCAAAACAGCTTCAGGAAGTTCCTGAAACTGACCAGATTTACTAGGCCCCACCCTCCCAAAGTAAGCAATAAAACTGCTGAGAGTTACTCTCAGACTAGCTGTGATGGGTCTTCTTGGTTGCCAACCTAACTACATCTGGAATTAACTAGAACCCAAAAATAGAGGGCACACCTGTTTGGGTTTTTTTTTTTTTTTTTTTTTTTTTTTTTTAGGTTTTTCGAGACAGGGTTTCTCTGTGCAGCTTTGCGCCTTTCCTGGATCTCGCTCATCTAGACCAGGCCGGCCTTGAACTCACAAAGATCCGCCTGCCTCTGCCTCCCAAGTGCTGGGATTAAAGGCGTGCGCCACCACCACCCGGCCTGTTTGGGTTTTTAGTTTAATTTGAAGTAGGAAGATCCACTTCTAATGTGGATTGTTGAGGTAGGAAGGCACGCCTTTATTCCAGATCTTTTGATCTGGGAAAACCCGCCTGTGATCTGGGCCACACATTCTGCTGGAAGCCTATACAAGGACACAGAAGAAGGAAATTTTTTGCTCTTTGCCTGCTTGCTCTCACAGAGCTAGTGAGAGGAGGTTAGGGTTGCAGTCATCTTAGAGAAGGGTCAGACAGGGGATAGCAGGCCCTCGGACAAACTGTCGTAAAAAAAAAAAACCACCAAGGATGTGCTGCCCCTTTGCTCCTAGACCCAGACAATTAGGAGCTACACAAAATTGAGTTCCAGACATTTCCTGCCATAACCTAAAGGATATGATATAACACAACTGGCATAATAAACAAAGCACCAGATATGTCTTATGGGATGTTTTCTGCTGTTATAGATTGTATACCATAGTTGTCAGAGGGAATAAGTTTCCTAGATAAAATAATCCCAGATAAAAATGGGATGTCTAACTGTCAGAGGAAATGGGTCTGCTAATGGTACTGATGTGATGACATAAACTGCTGGAGGACATGGCAATTTCCTTGCAGCTGCAGCTCTCTAATCAGTTCAAACCAAGCATCTCTAACCTGAAGTAAACACCAATCCTGAGCTTGTAACTATATAGAGTTGGAATTCTCCCAGATCCCCTACCCTAACCATTATAAAAACCCTGCCCCATGGCTACTCAGGGTCTCTTCTGCTCTGCTGCTGTGTCAGACTGACGGAGAGGCCCGAGTTAACTCATAACAGTAAGCAAAGACTCTTTGCTTTTACATCAAATTTGGTTTCTTGGTGATCTTTGGGGGACTCTGAGTACAACAATAGCAAGCCCATTCTTTTGTTGGCATTCAAGCCTACTTCTTTGGGATTCCAGCATATAGTGAAGACCAGATCAGACATCAGCCTTGTGAACTGAGCAACTACTAGATTCTTGGGATTTCCATTCACAGCTGGACTGCAGCCTGTAAGTCATTCTAATAAATCTCTTTTCGAAACACACACACATATTCATTCTCTAAGCTATATTAGTCGAGAGCAGTGGTTCTCAACCTGTGGGTTGCAACCCTTTTTTGGGGAGTCCCATATCAGATATCCTGCAGATCAGATATTTACATTACAATTCATAACAGTAGCAACATTACAGTTATGAAGGAACAACACAATAAGCTTGTGGTTGGGGTCACCACAGCATGAGGAACTGTAGTAAAGGGTCGCAGCATTAGGGAGGTTGAGAACCACTGCTCTAGAGAACCCTAACTAATACACTGGCCAAGCTGTAAAGACAACTGAAACAGACCAGTCGCCTGGAAGGAAAAAGTATCCTAGCTTCCTGGAAGAGGTTTAGGCCAGAGACCCTTGGAAAGGACACTCTCCAACCTGTTGAGCCGCCTGCAGGCTGTGCAGTGCGCTCCAGGTTCCCAGTTTTTATGAGCTGTCCCCCGTGCTGGGGTGGGCTGTGGTGGTGCAGCTCTCTTTGAGTCGTTTCTGCTCCTATGAGTGACCCCTCACCCATATTCCTTTTAAGTAACCCCAATAAAACTCAGGGTTCACCAAGCTAGACTTTCGTATCCCTATTTTGGTCTGTTGTGGGCTCCCTATCTGGGGTGAGTAGACATGTGTTGCCTCTCCCCAGGAAGTTTTATGACACAACCCTCCCAACTACTAAAGCAGAATATTTAGTAATTTTTGACACACAAATTACTTTTTGATATTAATCATTAAATAGCTGTAATTTAATGGAGACTTTTGAACATTCTCTTCCTTTTATAATAGAAGCATATAAAGAACATGTCCTACACATGAAGGCAGAAATCTTCCTGCTGACAATTAGCCTCTGGAAAAGTAACATTTAGGAAACGAAGAATTAAAGGACACCAGCACCTAAATGCACACTCACTGCTTAATTTGGAATTCAGACTGTGATGAGTGAGAGGCAGATGTATTAGCTACTCATCTTGTAAACAGAAGTTTTGTATTCATTTCTTTTTTTTTTAAGGGTTTATTTTATGTCTGGGTGTTTTGCCTGCATTATATATCTGTGCACCACATGTGTGCAGTGCCCATGGAAGTCAGGGAAGGACATCAGATCCCCTGGAGCTAGAGTGACAGATGGTTGTAGGCTGTCATGTGGTTCTGGGAACCAATCCTGGGTCCTCTGCAAGAGCTACAAGTGCTAAGCCATTTGAACCACTAAGCCATTACTCCAGTCCCTGTATTATCTCTTTTAATAGTTTTATTGAGCTATCATTTACCTGCTACGAAGTTCGACCATTTACAGGTATAATTCAATGGTTTCAGTATATGAACAGGTGTCCACCACAATTCGTTGGGTCATTATTATCAGCTCCCAAAGAAGTCTCTGAACTCATTGGCAAGCACTTACTTAGACTTCCCCCAACCACAGTTTCTTCCCAGCCCTAGATAACCACTGAGTTGATTTCTATCTCTATGAATTTTCTTATTTTAGATATTTCTTATAAATAGTACTGTACAATATGTGGTCTTTTATGGTTAGTTTCTTACAGACATGTTTTTGAGGTTCATGTATGTCATAAATAGGTATTAGAACTTCATTTACTTGGTGACAGAATAATATTCCAATGTATGGATATGCCACATTTTGTTAGTCTATGTATCACTTTAGGAACCTGTGGTTGCTTCAACTCTTGCTTATCACAAATAATGCTACTAGGGACATGTATGTTCAAGTTTTTGTATGAAGAGATGTTTTAGATCTAAGATTAGAAATAGTGGTTCAGGGGTTGGTGAGCTGGCTCATCAAGCAAAGGTGGCTGCTTCCAGGTCTGGTGACCTGAGCTTGACCTCTGGAACCCGTATGATAGAAGAAGGGGACACCAACTCCCACAAGTTGTCGTCTTCTGACCTCCATACTCACACTGTGGCACATGTGTTCTCTTACAAATAAATGTTGAAAAGAAAGAAAGAGATGGCCAATGGTGACAATTTTTAGCATTTTGAAGAATTTCTGAATTGTTTTTCAAAGCATTATATCCTTTTATATTCCCAGAAACAAATATGAGGGTCCTAATTTTTGTACATCTTGCCAACACTTGTAATTGTCTGTTACTTTTATTATTGTCATTCTATGTTTCATGTACTATGTATAGTTTACCATCCCTCCCTTAGCTAGACATTTATATTGTAATATTTCTCTAACACAAATAAGAACTTTATATTGTTTTTTGCTTGGGTAATCTCTTTTCTGGTGTGCAAGAACACTTTCAAAATACCTGGGATGGATTTAAGTGGGTTATGAGAACAGTTCATCACTGTGCAAAGCTACACAGAACTCAGCTGGGACACCCACATTAGTAACCTGTTATTCTAGAAACCAAGCCATAGGAAACATTCAGATTAAAGTCCAGTATTTGATTCTTTTTCTTCATAGCCTTGACAAGGATTCATGTTTCTTCCATCCAACTTTTTCAGAACACCCATCCTAAGCACACCGGGAAGAGCCTGCTTCCACGGTTAACATTACTTTCACCCCTTGATGGGAAATAGGACATAGAAAAATGTTTTTGAAAACCCATGGATGTTTTTATCAGGATTCCCATTGACCAGGTAAGAAATAAGGCTCCAAAATGCTGAGGTGATGCATTCCCACTAGTCATCTTAAGGAGTACCCTGGTGTAAACGACTATTTTCTAATCATCTGCACCATGTAATTCCTTCACTTACTTTCAGGTTTTGCGTCCGCTGCAGCATGCCGCATACTTTTCAGCTGGTTTTGCACTCTTTGCAATCTCTGCACCGCGTGAAACAGCTTTAAACAACAATTTCATTTATTACTTGCTCAGTCTAGTGAAACAACACTCACATAGGCAAGCAATGGGAATACATGGGATTCCTACACTATAGAAGAAACAGGTAAATACTAAGAAAATAAGTTCACGAAACCAAAAATGTAATTAGTTTTCTCAAAATATATTCATGTAAATTTAAATTTTTATTTATTTTGTGTGTGAGTGTGTGTGTGCCTGAGTGTATGCAGGTGCCCATAGCGGTCAGAAGAGGGTGTCAGATCCCATGGAATTAGTTACAGGAAGGTATGAGCCATCCTGTGTGGGTGCTGGGAACCAAACACAGATCTTCTACAAGAGCAGCAGATGTTCCTATCTACTGAACCATCTATCTAGTCCCTCATGCAAAATTTCAAACATGCTTCCAGAACATTTTTCTTTAGTTACTGCTTCAGTTAGTGATTAAAGAAAGATCTTTGTGGCTGGTGTGGTGGCATTTGCCTTTAATCCCAGCACTTGGGATACAGAGGCAGGAGGAACTCTGTGAGTTCAAGGCCAGTCTACCCAGCGAGCTCCAGGACAGCCAGGACTACATAGAAAGACCCTGTCTCCATAAATGAATGAATGAATGAATGAATGAATGAATGAATGAATACTATTCATTTGAGAGATACATGCAGCAGCCTTTCTTTGTGTAATAAGGTTTCCTTAACCCGAGGAAATGTGAACATTCTCACTAACGCTTCAGCATCAGAAACTGACATTGAATAACCACTGAGGCTCCGGAAACGGAACTCACTGCTGCGGTCCAACTGCTGTGGTGCCAAGTCAAGCTCCCATGGAGCCAAACAGCTCAGCGGCCAGCTTTAAGTGGTCATTTAGAAATTACACTGATTTGAAATATGTTTTTAAAGTTTAAGACAGATTTTTAATAAATTAAAGTAATACTTTCAAGCCAAATAATTTCTTCTTTAAGGTGAAGTTTAAAAACACAGCAGTGTGGGTGATTCTGAGGCCCCAGATTATTTTTAATTAAGAGTATTTTGTGACATTGTCAACAGCAGCAACACCTTTTTTGGGGCTCCATACTATGTGTGTAAGTACTGTGTTTTGGACTGCAGTTGACTCATGTTGTTTATACAGAGCAGAGGATCATTTTACTGTGTAGCAGTACGATTAGCTGTTAATGGAACAGAATCTTTACAGGGCACCCCACATCTAAGGGAGTAAGAATGTTCTTTTGGTTTCACTGATCACAGAACCTAGACATCTTATTTCAGTGGCAAAGAAGCAAATCATGTCTCAAAAGAAAAAGTAAAAAGAAAGCTGGGGATATAGCTCAGTTGTAGAGTGCTTGTCTAGCATGTGCCTTAGATTCAATCCTCAAATACTGCAAAAAAGGAAAAAAAAATGGAAAGAAAGAAAAAAACAGTCTTGACTGGGGATAAAGTTCAGTCATACAGTACATGTGCAGCATGAGCAAGGCCCCTGGTCTGATTCCCAGTAACACACACACACACACACACACACCCAGTCCTACAGAAAAAGAGTAGGTCCCTCATGCTGCCAAAGGGAAATGTGAAATTCTACGATTCATTTTTCATATATATTTTTTAACTACCAAGAGGAGCTACTTCTGGGGTCCTGAGTATAAACGTTCTGTGGATACCTGATTCTTCTGTTCCTGTTTCTGTTGTGCAAGAAACTCTTCTCTCTCCTTCTCAACCCGAAGCTGTCTTGCTATTTTAAGCATCCGCTGATGATTCTGAACAGTCTCCACCTACAGTAAGGGAATAAGTAGTACATGTTACTGTCACATTTGAGAAAGGCATTAGCAGGTCATGTGACTCCCACATCCACTTATCATTTCCTTTTGGTAAACAGTACTCCCCAGAGACGACAGCCAAGCTTTCAACTCCAGGTCCTTGAAAGTTCTGGGCTACTGCCTGGAGATTCCCTTTCCCCCAGTGTTACTTGAGTCCATCCTCCACTGAATACCCAAGCCTGGCTTAATCTTTGTTTGCATTCCTAAATCTCTGCCAGTCCTCAGGACTCGCTGAAGTCTACTGGGCTAATTCTTGACTTACCCTTTTCTTCAAGCGTTCAACTCTCTTCATGAGCTGGTCTTTTTCCTCTTCCATTGCGCTGATGTCCTAAAAAGTAGTAGAGAGGCCATTAAAAATGCTCTCAACCTACAGGATCGAGGTGAGTTGTGCACAAGCCCTGCCATCTACCATCCCATCATAACCAGAGCAGCAAGTAACAAAGATCCTCTTTTGATTTAAGGGCATTTCCATTTCCCCCAGGCTTCTTTATGCAAGAGAATTTTTTTGGCAGCTTGGCATTCATCTAGAAAAGCAACTAAAGCAGGTTACAGCACAGCAAGGTAAAGCTGCCAGCCAGCACACTTATGTTCTGATTCCAAATACGGCTCCATGATTCTTCAAAAATTTTCCATAATGAAATGTATGCAGGCCCAAATACATGAATAGCTGCTGACATCCCAACTGCTTTGTTGAATACCCAACCGTATATCCTGCTGATTTCCTATCAAAATTACTTTTAAGGTTATGGTGGGCTTTTGTTTTTGTTTTGTTTTGTTTTTGAGACAAGATCTCCCTAGATAGCTCTGAATGTCTTGGAACTCACTCTGTAGACCAGGCTGGCATCAAACTCCAGAGATCCACCTGCTTCTGCTTTCCAAGTGCTAGGATTAAAGGTGTGTGCCACCATGCCTGGCCCATGTGGTGTTCTTAAGATGTAAAAATATGTATGGTTTTGTTAATTAACCAATTTTTCCTCTGGAAAAAAATAAAAATAAACTACCTTCTTTTAAATCATCTCTACAATAGTTTGTAATGAAAACAGAGAAACAAATATCCTTCCTAAACAAAAAAACAAAAATCTATGTAATAATGCTGTAGGTAACCTAAACAATGGTAGCCATTACTGGTAGGATTTCAGGAAATGGACACTCTTCCTCAGTACTGATAGTGTTGTGTTAAAGAATAATACAAGAAGTCATAAAATAAACATGCATCCCTTCAGGCCAGGAACTCTGCACTTGAGGTGTGCTAATAAAATGTTCACTAAGGCCAGCAAGATGGCTCAGTGGGTAATGGCACTTGGTGCCAAGCCTGAAAACGTGAGATCAATTTCAGGACCTACATGGTAGAAGGGGGGCTAACTCCCTCAATTGTCCTCTGACCTCCCTCCACATGTGCACTGTGGTGCGCACGTACACACACACACACACACACACACACACACACACACACACACACACACACACACATGTAATAAAAAATGTTCACTTAAAGTCCTACTTTTCTATAAAGATTCTTACTGATGCCAATGGAGCTCAGATTTGAAAGAATCTAAATGTCTGACAACGATTAACTAGAAGGTAACAAAATGAAAGTCATTACAATGGTGCCAAAGAGTGTTTAGTGACATGAGAAGAGTTATGAAATGACATTCCTTGAAAGAAGCAATTACAATAGTTAGTTATATATAGTTCAATTCCAAGGAAAACTGTCAACAGTAGGTACCTCAAGAGCGTGTGATGTGAGTGCGTTCTTTTCTATTTCTTCTTTAACCATGTTTTCTAAATCGACTGCAGAGAAGAGGTTCCAGACTATTTGGTAATAATGAATGAAATGAAAGTCAGACTCTGTATTCTGAGTCATCACTGCAATTCATTCACAGGACACAGTGGAGGATCTCTCACTGGTCCTTCTTATCTGCCAGAGCTGAGCTCACCCTCCATTTCTAATCAACCACCTCCTCCTGAGGGCCTGCTAGACACCAAACACCGTGTCGGCATTGGGAATACAGTGGTGAAGGTGCACAGACACAGCCCTTGCCTTCTTAGGGCTTCATGCATTTAGGAAGACAGATATTAAGGCAATTAAAGGGCAATGAATGCCATAACAGGAAAAGAACTAGGGAACGTGATCTATTTAGGGAGTCAGGGACGGCTTCCCTGAGGAAGAAACTTTGATGTCCCTGATTTAATGAGAATATAAAGATAGCACTCCTAACTCGGGAATTCTAAAAATACAAGATTCATGCAAATCAGAATAGCAAGTCTTTAAGGGAAGGACCTGAACGCCTAAGCAGAATGTAAAGGTATCTTCTGGAGAACATGCATTAAAAGCCCTAAAATAATTTATGTGAGTTAATAAGCAATTCTGTATCTAAAAAATACTGCAAATCAACTATCACAGCCATACCAAAATTAGGTTGATAATCATGGCATTATTTTTAATAGAAAAAAATGAAGCCAAAACCTAAATATGATTAATGTATAATAACTTTGGTCATTGCTATAATTTTGTAGAAAGATAACAATGAAAATACACTCACAATGTAATAATTAAAAAGCAACAAGGGGGGGCTGGAGGGATGGCTCAGAGGTTGGGAGCACTGGTTGCTCTTCCAGAGGTCCTGAGTTCAATTCCCAGCAACCACATGGTGGCTCACAACCATCTGTAATGAGATCTGGTGCCCTCTTCTGACCTGTAGTCATACATGCTGTATACAAAATAAATAAATAAATCTTTAAAAAAAAAAAAAAAAAAAAAAAAAAAAAAAAAAAAAGCAACAAGGGAGTGGTTGGGGATTTAGCTCAGTGGTAGAGCGCTTGCCTAGCAAGCACAAGGCCCTGGGTTCGGTTCTCAGCTCCGGAAAATTAAAAAAAAAAAAAAAAAGCAGCAGGGGGCTGGAGAGATGGTCTGTGGTTAACAGCACGTATGCCTGAGTTCAGTTCCCAGCATCCATGTTAGGCCGCTCTTAACGGCTTGTAACTCCAGCTCTGGGGGGATCTAACATCCTTCTCTGGGCTCTGCAGGCACCTGCACTTACATGCACATTCTCCCACACAGAAACACACGTGGACACGTATTTTAAAATACAAACAAATCTGAAAAAAGCACTGAGACTGTGGGAGTGGTTCAGCTGGTAAAGCTTGCCTAGCAAACAAGAGCCAGGACCTGAACTCAGTCTCACGCTCCAGCACCTACACAAGAAGTGAACACGGGAGCACATACTTGGAACCCCAGCACTAGGGAGGTGGAAACGAGAGGTTCTCTGAGCCTTGCTGGCCAGATAGTCTCAGCTAATGGGTGAGCTTCAGGCCAACGAGAAACCCCGTCGCTGAGGAGGATGATGGCATCCTGAGGATGACACCTGAAGTTGTCTTCTAGCCTTCATGAAGAAAGCAAGGTGGGGTGATCAGGTATTGCATGATCTCATATACACACAATGCAACATTTCCTCCTGTGCTCTTCTCTGCATTCTCTAGATCATATATGGAATACACACCAAATAAAGAGTCAACATGAAGCACTTCTAAGTCCCTGCAAGCCGTCAACACGAAACATGAACTCACTGTCCTCACTGATTTCTTCAGTAAAGAACTACAAAGGAAGGCTGGGCATGGCTGAGTGTGCCTGTAATTCCAGAGCTGGGGCTGGAGACAGATGGATATGGCTGGCCAGGCAGACAGGTTCTGACTAAGCTTCAGGTTCAGTGAGAGATTCTGCCTCAAAAATCAATATAGAAAGCAAAGGAAGACTCCAGATGTCCTTTGACCTCTACATGCATACACATAGATTTATATGTCTACACCACCAACACATATACACACCAATATTAAAGGTCCCACAAAAGTTTCCATACAGTTAAAACTCATGCTGAATTAACCAAAATCAAACAATCTGAATACAGTGTTATTCAAATCCAAATGGATATTTCTTTACCCTTCTTATTTCTGCTGTAGAAAATCCAGATGTTTTGAGCTGCTCACATTCTTTATGCAGAGTTTTAAAGGCTTCCATCAGCTCTTCATACTGAAAGAGGAGGTCAGCACGTTACCAGTTATGACTACATCTAGTGTGCTCGTCACCAAGCTGCCACTAACTTGCAGCAATCACTTTAATCCTTACAAGAACAAGATTAAAAACGTGTTTTTAAAAAGCAGTCATGACGGGCGGTGGTGGCACATGCCTTTAATCCCAGCACTTGGGAGGCAGAGGCAGGTGGATCTCTAAGAGTTCGAGGCCAGCCTGGTCTACGGAGTCAGTTCCAAGACATACAGCAAAAACAAAACACAATCCTGCACATTCTTACAATCAATACAAAAAACAAGATCTGCATGGTCTGCTCACTAAATACTTCTCTGGCTCTACCTCTGGCTACTTTCTTTCTCACAATCTCAACTGTAGCTACATTGACGCTGGAACAGCCCTGGCTCCCACCTGCAGGGTACCTATCCTATTCCATCTGAGAACACTCATGATGCCCTCCCTGCTAACCTGGATAACAGATGCATTCCAACAGTCTCAGCATAGCTGCCACTGTTCTCAGCAAAGCCTGCTCCGGCCCCTTGTCTATCAGAGTAGAGATCATGTTGTAACAGAGTACTTACGTGTCTGCCTCCCTCCAGGAAACAGCAATAGCCAGGAGGGCAAGAACTGCATTTGTTATGAATACCTTCATAACCCCAGGGCTTACTATAGGACGTAATCCTCACAGGTGTGCAATAAAGAGTAGTCAGATTAATGAAAAAGACCATAGCTGTTATCCTGATTTCTAAATGAATGGTAGTCTAAGGTCTGAAAATACAGCTCAGTGGTAAACATGTGCCTAACATGCCTAAGACCCTGGGTTCAGGGGCTGGAGAAATGGTTCACTGGTTAAGAGTACTACTGACTGCTCTTCCAGAGGACCCGGGTTCAATTCCCAGCACCCACATGGCAGCTCACAACTGTCTGTAACTCTAAGATCTGACACTCTCAGACATACATGCAAGCAAAACACTGACGCACATAAAATAAAGATAAATATTTTTTTAAATGATCCTAGGTTCAATTTCTAGCACCACATACACACACCACAGTATGTTTTAAATGACAATATCATAAAATTAATATTTTTGACTGATCATATGCTATAAATCTACAAATTGTTCATTCTAAAACTTTTCATTCAGAAAGATAACATTCTTTCTCTACATACATATATATATAGAGATAGATAATAGATATATATATGATTTTTGAGACAAGGTTTCTCTGTTTAACAGCCCTAGCTGTCCTGAAACTTGCTTTGTAGACTAGGCTGCCCTCAACCTCCCAGAGATCCACCTGCCTCTGCTTCTGAGTGCTGGGATTAAAGGCGTGTGCCATCACCCGACAACAACATACAATTTTTACTAGTGTTTTTGCTAAATGTGTCTCTTTTTAAATACACATACCTCTCAGACATGCTTCAAGAGCATCTTTATTACCTTTTATCCTCTTAATTAGCTGAGCATATTAAGAGGTACTATTAATAAACTTCCTCTAGAGGAATTATTTACACTATTAAATACGTATCAAATAAATATCCAAAATACAACCTTTTTTTTTTTTTTTTTTTTTTTTTTGGTTTTTCGAGACAGGGTTTCTCTGTGTAGCTTTGCGCCTTTCCTGGAACTCACTTGGTAGCCCAGGCTGGCCTCGAACTCACAGAGATCCGCCTGGCTCTGCCTCCCGAGTGCTGGGATTAAAGGCGTGCGCCACCACCGCCCAGCCTAAAATACAACCTTTTAAAGTCCCTGGTCGTGATCTATGTAATACATATGAACCCACTTATGAAGAGGGTGGGGAAGGAGTAGAATACACCACACTTACACATCCCTGTTTTCTGTATCATATAAATGCCTACTATGGCATCTGACCTATGTACTTATATAGCTGTGGCTTTAAGATCATTATTAACTTTACTTTTAATGACAGCTATAACAATACACAAATGAAAAATAAAAGCATTCGGTTGTTTTGATACAGTCCAAATACTGAGCAACCAACATACACAAAGCCACTACACCAAATCCTGGAAGAAAACAAAGACCAATAGTATAAACTCAACACCTGTTTCCATGGACCTCATAGTCTACCAGAAAATGACAAACTTCATAACAAACTGACCCAAATCAGCCTAACTACTATGAAATAAAAGTATAAAAAAACGAAAATTCTTTGAAATCCAGTCTGGTTTCTCTATTTCTTTCTTTTTTTTTTTTTTTTTTTTTTTTTTTTTTTGGTTTTCAGGACAGGGTTTCTCTGTGTAGCTTTGTAGCCTGTCCTGGATCTCGCTCTGTAGACCAGGCTGTCCTCGAACTCACAGAGATCCACCTGGCTCTGCCTCCCAAGTGCTGGGATTAAAGGCGTGCGCCACCACCGCCCGAGCCTGGTTTCTCTATTTCTACAGTCTGTGGTCAGCCAGGTACTTTGAGACAAGAGGACCCAGGAACCAGAGCACAGGAGCCAATGCTGGTGAGGGAAAGGCACTGCAAACTCCCACTACTCTCTCCCCTTGGAAGAGCCGGCAAGTCCGGATGAGCTGCAGGGGCTCACATGTTCCAACCGGCCAGAGGCAGAACGGACGTCTATCATTTGTCCTGGTGTCCTGACAATGATAGCCGGCTTCCTTCTCATCTGGATGACAAACTGCATAACTGCCTCGCGGATCAGCACAGTGCTCTGCATCTCAAGCCCAGGAGTCCATCTACCCAGAATTACTAAGTACAGGAAGTACTTGCACATCTCCATGTCCTATCCATACGGTCCTATTACCCAACAGTATTTGAGTGTGAAGGTCACTGGCCATCAGCTGACACTATTTTCCTTTCGGTGTCACTTGGAACCCTAAAGTCACAATTAGAGAGAGAGTAACGCCGAAGACGAGCAGCTTTGTTCACTACGAGGTACCTGTTTATTGGTGTCGGCCACAGTCTCATCCTGTAGGAACTCACTCGGCACATCCAGTTTTATTAGAAAACGAGCTAAGTATGCCCTCTTCTTCAGTTCATTGCTCCTCTGAAGGAGCCAGTGCAGCACTGGGTAAATGACAGGCTTACTCCCGATCACCAGGCCCTGACGAAAAGTACTCCTGCAAAGGACACACAGCGCAGGCGCAGTCAGCAGAGCGGGAAAGACAGCCTGTGTTCAAAGCGGGACTTACAGGGTCCTTATTGCTCTACACAACTACTTTTAAGATACAGATCCAAGGCTACAGTCAGCCTTACATTAGTCAGAAAATTGGATCCTCCATGCATTACTAAACTATCCAAGAAGTTGTGTTGAAACCATTCATTGGCAGAGTAAACCTTAAGTCTTTATTGGCTGGGTAGCTTTTAAGTTGTTTTGGTTTCTTAAGATTTGTTTTTATTTATATGTATGTGTATATTTGTGTGCATGTGTGTGTGCGTGCGTGTGTGTGTGTGTGTGTGTGTGTGTGTGTGTGTGTGCGCGCCCTGGAGCTGGAGTTGTAGGTGGTTGTGAGCCACCAAACTCAGGTCCTCTGACGGAGCAGCAAACACTATTTATTATCAACCACTGAGCCATCTCTCCAGCCCCAGAGTGGTTTTTATCTAGAATGGCATAAATCATAAAATGGTATTTGTCTGACTGTTTTGGCCAGAGGAGAAGAACTGACCCACTTAAGACTTCTACGTGACAGAACAGCATTAGAAGGATTAAAACTCTTCAAATTCTGTTATGTCCTAAGGCAATCAAATGAGGACGGACCAGGTGTTGCCTAAAAAGACCAATTGAGCTTTAAACCATGGCTTTAAGACAGCATGATATATGAGCAGATTCTTACATGTCTGTGGCATTTCCGGGAGGTTTGTATTTAAGGATACCAAGCAGGTTCAACATCCGTTTGGCTGTCTGCTCTGGCATCTCCTCTCTGATATCAACATCTTGCTAACAAACAAAGAAATTGAAAAATACGTCATTGTTGTATATTTAACAAAGGAAAACATTTAAACTCATTGACAAGCTTGTTCTGCTGGCAGAACAAGCACAATGGTCTCTTCATAGAACAGATTAAGTCCAGGGCCCAGATTCCAAGTGAGGGAGCACACGAGTCAGATCAGGATTCACCTTCAGAATGTCAAGCTTCAAAACAAGTCTCCAATGGGAAAGCGTATAAAAGACATGAACTAACTTGCAATACAATCAAACCTTTTGTCAAATGCATCTTTATTCCAGGACCCAAGCTTTTTGTGTCTAGAAGTAGAGAAATAATGTCTAAATAAGGCTTGAGTAGAAACTTGAGGGGCCAGTGAAATGGCTCAATGGGTAAATGGGTCTGCCACCAAGCCTGGCAACCCCAGTTGACCCCAGGGACCCACATGGTAGAAGCAGAGAACTGATGCCTGAAAGCTGTCCTCTTTCATGGTTTTGAAAAGCACGGACATGCCCACACACATGCACACAAAATAAATAAAAGGTAAAAAGGAAATTTTTTTTAGTAGATAACTGAAATGTGAGTTACTAGAGAGGCCTAAAAGATCATTAACGATCCCTTTACAACACAGTAAAGGAGGCCCAGGGAGGGCTTTGCAGACCCACGACAGTTATTTAGAGGCAAAGGTGGGCTGTCCTAACACATTTTTCATTACAAAGGAGAAAATTTAGCCACATCTAATCCCAACACTCAGGAGGCAGAGGCAGGTGGATTGCTGTGAGTTTGAGGCCAGCCTCATCTACAGAGTGAATTCCAGGACAGCCAGGGCCACACACAGAAACCTTGTATCAAAGAAAAAAAAAAAAAGGAAAGAAAGAGAAAACTTACCTTGGGGTCGATCTCAGCCAGAACATCATTGAGAACTTGTAATAGTTGCATTGGTCCCAGAGAATCAAATGTGATTAAATTATAGTTCTTCTTAAAAGGCTCCTTATTGAGGCTGTCCACGATGAATTTGATTTGGTCACTCATGATTAAGTCTTATAGCTTAAAACTAAAGAGGAAAAAAAAAATGAGGAGGAGGAGTCCTCAATCTTGATAGCTAAAGAAAGTGTTGAGAGAAAATCAGAATTAAGATCATAGGAAGTAGGCAGAGAGGTATATGTCTGCATGGCATATAGAATGCTGTGAAAAGACCAGTTTTGTTGGAAGAAATCAGAGTATGAAACTTTATTATGCAATCTGTTTATGCTGTTAATATTCACTATGGACTGCTTTTGTACATCCATCCACTCTGGCAGCAATCACCTGAACACAGGCAAATGAATAAGGTACCCTATATTGAAGTCTCTTCAATATAGCCACAAAGTTTTTACAAACCTGGGTTAAAGGCAGAACTACAGACAAGCTTTTTTTTTAATTGGTAACTCACACTTAAAACATCAGATTTTTATGGTACAATCCAGATCTTGTTCCTTTTGAAAATCAGATCTGGCAACCCGGAGCCCATATCTGTGCTTAGCCTCAAGCACAGAATGCAAGAAGGGCCCACACACTTCAGCCCAGGCATATCCTTTAGGGCTGTTTAGGTCTCTGCCAAACACTCTCCACCCATCTCTATTACTGGATTAGCCTGGGAGACCTCAACTCTGAGCAACTCAGGCCTTGGCTTCCTTTTCCCTTCAGTGAGGAAACGTTCAGGCTTTCTGGCCTCCACCTCCCATCCCAAATCACTTGTAAGCTTCTTGCTTCTTATAAAATAAAGGGGAGTTGGGGATTTAGCTCAGTGGTAGAGTGCTTGCCTAGCAAGCGCAAGGCCCTGGGTTCAGATCTCAGCTCCAAAAAAAAAAAGGCTAACTCTGACATCTTATGACCTTTGTGATCCAGCTCAACCTTTCCTCTGAAACCAGCCCAGTCATGCTCCCTGATTCACCTACTTTTTCTGCCTCCTCTACCCTTGTTTGGAGGTGTAAATCTCACACCATCCAGGCCCTGCTCAGGTGCAAGTTTTCTCAGGAAACCCTTAAGTTCCCTGGCAAAGGAACAGGGCCTGCCCTCCACCCCCACCACACCGTCCACACTGCTTTCCTTAGTCTACTTTTTTTCTTGTTCTAGCTTCTTAGGTGCACATTATTTCTTGCTTTGCAAAACTGTACATTCCACGAGCAATCTATCCAACTCCATTTTGAATACACATTGAGCTGAAAACAGTGAGTTCTACTAGGCTGAATGAACTTGGTCATAGGCCTCAAGCCAAAAATCAAAACAAATAAAAAACACAGAAGCCAAAGTCTAAAGGAAATAAGGTTGTTATGAAAAAAACAATAACCTTAAAAAACTGAGTATCTGGGACTGGAGAGAGTGCTCAGCAGTTAAGGACACTGGTCGCTCTTGCAGAAGACTGGGGGTTTGGTACCCGGCACCCACATTGTGACTCACAACCATCCCTAACTTCATTTCCAGGGAATCTAACATCCTCTTTTTAAACATCACGGGCATCAGGCATGCATGTGGTACACATACATACATGCAGGCAAAACATACACCTAAAATAAATAAATATTTTTAAATTAATTTTTAAATTTTTAATTAAAAATAGCATATCTGATTCAACCGCTGAAAAGGCTTTATGTTTTACCAAGGGAAATTGCTTTACTAAAATGAACTGCTGGGCTGGGGATGTAGCTTGGTTGGTAGAGGGCTTGCCTAAAATGTAGGAAGCCCTGGGTTCGATTTCCCAGCCCTGAATAAACTGGATGTGGCTGCACACAGAAGCAGGATGATCAGAAGTGCAAGGTGATGCTTGGCTACTTAGTGAGTTAAAAGCAGCCTGGGCCACTTGAGACCTTGTCAAAACCACCACAAAGCTGAACTGCTACTCCTGTGTCTGAAGCCACACAACTGTAACCCCAGGACTGGAGAAGCTGAGAAAGAAGGAGCCAGAGTTTGAGGCCAGCCTGGGCTACATAAGACTCTATTAAACTAGAAAAGATGAGACAAAGGAAGAAAAGGTTATCTCAATGCTTTCTCAGTTAAAACTATGAAATAGATACTATTTCACTCAAGACATACAGTGAGGACATAAGCATCTTACTCTAAAACAGAAAAAAAATGTTTTTTTTTCCTTTTGAAACATCTCCATGTGTAGCCCTGGCTAGCCTGGGACTCACTATGTAGACCAGGCCACTACCTCCTGAGTGCTCGGATTAAAATCAAGGGCCACCAAGCTTGGCATGAAATGGGTTCCATAATTGGGTGGGTGAAGCTTACATTTAGAAGACATTAAAAAAAAAAAAACTAAAGATATTACTATTTCATAATAATAAAATTATGAGTAAATAAATAAAATAGTAAAAAGGAAAATAAAACAAAAAAAGTGACATAACCAGAATAGCTTCTAAATTTAAGGTTTCTTTTAAGCTTATACCAAAAGAATATCTTAGCCAGGGATAGTAGTGTGAGACTTTAATCTCAATACTAGGAGGCAGAAGCAGGCAGATCTCTGAGTTCGAGGCCAGCTTGGTCTACAGAGTGATTTCCTGGACAGCCAGGGCCACAAAGAGAAGCCCTCTTTCAAAAACAAGCCAAAAATAAATAAATCAAAGGAATTATCTTTATTTTTTTAAAACTGTGGAGGTGCAAGTTTTCAAATATAAAAATATATTAATACACATTTTCGTATCCACATAGTATCCACATATATTTAATTTAAAACAATTTAGAGGGGGCTACAGAGATGGCTCAGGGGTTGAGAGCACTGGCTGCTCTTCCAAAGGTCCTGAGTTCAATTCCCAGCATCCACATGGTGGCTCACAACCATCTGTAATGAGATCTGGTGCCCTCTTCTGACCTGCAGTCATACATGCTGTATACATAAGAAATAAATTAAAAAAAAAAAAAATTTAGAAATTATCAGTAGGTCTTTTTTCTTTCTCTTTCAAAAACACAAAATTAAACCAAATATCTGGATAAACGAGTAATACATTGCTAAGAAGAGAGAATACAAGCGGGGTTCTAGGGAGTATTTCTAGGAGTATTTACAGGCAGGTAATGGTTGCTAGGAGAGGGAAAGGCGTTTTCTTCAGTGGCGTGCCACTGATAAGTAATCCACGCTTCTGAAAGAAACCATAAGGAAACTCATTGGGCCACCAAAAAGGAAGGGAGAGGGGCATTAAAGTCGAAGGGAGCTGGCGGTGGTGGCGCACGCCTTTAATCCCAGCACTCGGGAGGCAGAGGCAGGAGGATCTCTGTGAGTTCAAGGCCAGCCTGGACTACAGAGTGAGTTCCAGAAAAGGCGCAAAGCTACACAGAGAAACTCTGTCTCAAAAAACCAAAAAAAAAGTCGAAGGGAGATGAGCTGGGAAATGGAAGGGGAATCAGTGGGAGTGGGAAGGTGGTCCTAAGAGAGAAATCGGAGTGGAATGATCAAAATACACTCTATGCATGTATGAGGACAGCATAATGGCACCCATTATGCATAACTAATATGTGCCAATTAAAAAGAAAAAAAAAAACTTTTTTAAAGACAGGAATCCGTTGGGGTTCCCGCACCCCAGGTCGCCCACCAGCTTTCCGAGGACAAAGACGTTCCCGAACAGGTAGGCTGTCGGTGCCCGGCGGGCGCTGCGCGCTAAAATTAGCAAAAGCAATTACTCTTCCCTCTTCCAGCGCAACTGTTGGCCGCGCTAATTCACCAGCACTCACCCACAGCAGCACCCAGGGGGCCGGGGCAAGAATTAAAACCAGGACGCGCGTTTATCTGGCACAAGTCGGGGCAGCGCGCGCAGGCCCACTGGCTCCCGCAGCGGCCGGGGTCGAGGCGGGGAGACCAGGGACCCCGCTCCCGCCGGGCCCCGCGCGGCCGACCCCCCGACCCGAGCAGGCCCTGGCGCCGCCGCCGGCCGGGAGCGGGAGCGGTTCGAGGGAACTCGGGGTTCGCCGAGTTCCCCCACCGCGAGTTGGCGGGGTTACCTCAAATTCTCCTCGCGAAACCACTTCCCCACCCCACCCCCCCAACGGGAGGCACCCCGGCGCAAGCGGGTTCCTAGAGACCGCTCCTTGGCAACGGTTGCCATGCGCTGATGTCACTTCCTCCGGCTCAGGGCGCGCACCGGGGGTGGGGCCTCGGGCTGGGAAGCTGGACCCGGTGCCTGGGGTTCCGAGCCACTGCAGAAAGCCTAGGGTGTCCCGGGCAGCCGGTCCCACTTAGGGCGATAATAACCTTTGCAAACCCTCTGCAGTTCTCACTTGACAAAGTACTCAACCTGTGCTGTTTGCATATGCTGTTTCATTCATTTATTTATTTACTAAACTTGATTCGACTACTTCTTTGAAGCAGGGCTAGATGGGGTTTGGGGTCAGGAAGCATTGGGTGTGGTTTTCAAGTTTAGGTTTTCGACGTAAGTATCTCCAGAGTAAAACGTTCATGGGAACAAGTATAGATTAAGAGACACAACATGCATGGAGGGAGAGAGACAGACAGACAGACAAATGGAATCCTACTCTGAAAACTGGGTTAGTTGCTCAGACATTCTTGAAGAAACGGTGACTTTAACATCAGACTTAACCACAACCTAAAACTAACAAATAACAAATTAGACCTTTCTTACATGCCCCATACTGCTGGCTGCTGCAATTAGAGAATGCAATAGAGAGCAAGATCCAACGGTGGGGTTCTTTCCCCCGGGGAGGTAAGGGGGCGGGTAAGACAGAGAACACAATTAAACAGGCCGGGACTGAGAGAGATGTAACAAAATGTTCCAGTGATGATGAAGCCCGGCGTTTACTGGGGGACGGGGAGGGTTGAAGGAGTCATACTCTCAAGCCTCCATCCCAAAGAGCCATGTTTAAGGACCAGTAAAAAGAATCTGGGGGGATGGCTCAGCTGGTCGAGGTGCTGGGTGCACAAACCTAATGACAGGTTCCACAGAGACCGAGACAGACTGCCTGTTGACGGGCCAAAGAGAGTACTGATTCCTGCCTGTGATTCCTTAAGATAAAACCTGGATAGGACTCATTGAGGAGTCGAAGAAGACATTCCCGGTAACAGTTTCACAGCAGAGAGGCATTGTTGATTCTGTCTGGAGCAAGCTACCTGTGGGTAGCACCCCCCCCACCCCCCCACCCCCACACCCCACCTCCAGGTCAAGTCTTGTATGTAACCTCCCAATGATACCTTTTAACTGAACTGTATTTGAGATTTTTAATAGATTCTAACCCTATGTGACAGTAGTTCTGAAAGCTTGTCACTTCTAATTCATCCCCTCCCTTCCCCTGCCTCCTCTCCTCCCACTCCTCCTCCTCTTCTTCCTCTATCTCTTCCTGCTAACCTTCCCCCATGCTAGGAAAGCACTCTACCACTGAGTTACCTCTTCAATCTTCCTTTTTATCTTTATTATATCATTCATTTACTTATTGTGCGTAGGAGAGCCCAGCCCACTGTGGGCCAGGAGGAGCAAGCCAGTCAGAAGTGTTGCTTTGAGGTTCCTGCTTCAACTTCCTGCCTTGAACTCCTGCCTTTACTCCCGGAGGGTGGACTGTGATCTCTCCAAACCAAGCAAAACCTTTCCTCTCCAGTTTGTTTTGGGTCCTGGTATTGTATCACAGCCACAGAAAAGCAAACTAGAACCGCTGATTAGATACTGTGTACTGTGAAGTTCGAGGATCTCACCACCTTCGGGTGTGACTTTATCTAAGAGCTCATGGTCATCTTGACTTTCTCCCTCCATCTCTCTCTGTCTCCTCTCCACTTTGCTCTGAACGGGTTGTTAGCAGTGACAGGCTTACATCCTGCCAACCTAGTGTTCAGAAAACTCCCAGGGCAGACTCTCATTGGCACAGAATATGACTGAATAGCTAGACACGCCCATCTTCATTTTTAGTTTATGTGTACAGGTGTTTTTGCCTGCCTGTGTGCACACCACATGCATGCAGCGCCCACGGAGACCAGAGGGGCATCAGACTCTTGGAGTTACAGGTGGTTGTAATGTGTGTGATGGGAATCAAACTTGGATTCTCTGGAAGAGCAGCGAGTGTTCTTAACTGCTGAGCCATTTCTACAGTCCCCAGACAATTTCCTTTCTAAATGTTAAAAAAAAAAATTCTTTCTGTGGTCATACGTTATTTTGAGACAGTCTTGCTAAGTCACCTGTGCTGGCCTTGAATTTTTCAATCCTCCTGTCTCTTGAATTTTTCAATCCTCCTGTCTCATCAGCATCCTGAATAGCTGGGATTAAAGGTGTGCACCACCATGCCACACTCCATTCTGTTGACTTATTTTTTTTTGAAACAGGGTCTACAATATGTAGCCCAGACCGGATGGAACTCATTGTGTGGCCCAGGTTGGCATCAAACTCTGCCTTGCCTCCACTTTACGTAGGCATGTGCACCACACCCAGTTCAAACCATTCTCGAGTCTCCTGGGTCTTTTCTTATAGCAACAGTAATGGAGTGGGTGAGGTGTTCCTCCAAAGGGAAGGGCTGGGCCTGTGAGCAGTGGGAGAGATGCTGTGCCAAGAGCGACACAGGGCAGTTGTGTTGGGAGAGGCTGTTTCATCTGGAAAGCTGTGAATGTGGCTCCATTAGTCCAGCGCTTGCCTAGCACCCACAAAGCCCTGGGGTTGATCCCCAGCACCACGTACACCAGCGTGGTAGTACATGCCTGTTATCTCAGCCCTGGGGAGGCAGAGACAAGAGTACCAGGAGTTCTAGGTCATCCTTAGCTATACAGTGGGTTTGAGGCCAGCCTGTGCTAGGTGGAACACTACCTCAAAAAAAAAAGGGGGATGGGTGGGAGGGGAGATGACGCCTTGTTGCCAAGCCTGATGACCTGAGTTTGGTTCCTAGAATTCACAGAGTAGAAGGAGAAAACAGGCTCCTGAAACTTGTCCTCTGACCTGGACACATGGGCACGTGGAGTGCACATACATACGTGCACACATACGTACACAAATAAATGAAAAATAATTCAAAAGCAAAAAGAAATGCACAGGTATGTCTTGTGTGGAGTGTCGGTATCAATGGGAACTGTCTCCTCTGTTTCCTCCCAAGGAATTATGTCTCTAGTGCAGGCCCCTACCGTGGGCCGGGATAGGTCTTCACAGACATCTCAGGGATGCCACAAACACAACGTCTCCAGCCCCCCTTTTTCAGCTCAGAACTTCCAAACAAAAACTTTCCTGTGCAGAATCCAAGGAATCCAAGCCAATTTTCTGTTTGGGGTATTAAATTTAGACCTATCATCCTGACCAGGAGATATTTCTGGAGCCTGAACGAGCATTCAGTGAACGCCAGTTTCCAAGATGCCATCCCATCTGGGGTAGCTCTGCACGCTGCCCACATTATCTTATCCTTTGAAAACAGGGGGAAAATGACCCAGACACCAGAACATGCCTGCAAGTGGGTCATTTCATTACCCATTGATTGTCATTTAACACCTTTGCCATTTGGTTACGTGGAGATGAAAGTCATTAAGTTTAAGTGGAAACCTGAATTGAGGTTTGGAGATACCCCAAGCTCTCTCTGCTCTGGCAGTTGGATCTTGTGGGCACATTTGGTAGCAGGATGTGCTTTCTTAAAAGGCAGAAAGATAAATATCCTGTGAAACATTCAGCTAAATGGATGAGATTCCAGAGGCCTAATTAAATGCATGCCTGGTACTACATTTTTCTCAGGCTTTCCTGGTAATGGATTTTGTGTTTGCAAATGGACTACAGTTTGCAAAGCCTGAAAATCACCAATGAGATTAATGGGCTATATAAAGTATCCAAACTTCTACTACAATTTATATAGACTCCTTGGTTATCCATTTGGATTGAAATACAGTCCTCACTGGACATTCCCCCAGGGGCTCAAACCACCAAGTCATCATTTGCTGAGAGTTTACTATTTATCAGCAGCCCTGAGAAATAGCTCAGATTGGGTCAGAACTGACTCCGATATTAATGTGTGTGGTGCGGTCCTATGTCCCCTCCTCTGCAAGCAACTCCAATTGTCGCTAGCAGGCGGCAATTCCCATAGCAAATCTGCACTTGCTGCATAAGCTGTTCAGTCTTTGCGGGGAGAAGGGGACCTCCTTCAAGTGGACCATCAGACTCAGAGGTGCTGTGAGGAATCCCAGGGCAGGGATCGAGCCCTAGAGGAGATAAAAGTACTCCAAAGAGGCCACACCAGGAGTCCTGTGGCTGAATGACACTTTCCTTGTCCAAGGAGGCAAGTCACATGGAGGCAGCAGTGCCTGAGAATGGAGCTGCAGGGTGGGGTGATGTGTGAGCAAGTGGTCATAAGGTACCCAAAAACCTCATCACTGCAGAAAAGTCCGGGAGCTGCCCCCCACCCCCAGCATGTGTACCAATGGGAGGACACTCAATCATGAGACTGCATTTCCTTCCAGCCTAACAGAAGAGGGGCTCAGACTTCAGCAGATTACAAAATAAAACCATTCTGGCAGACCTGAGTCCCGGACTAAGGCCGAAAATGACCTCTATCAGTGAGCGATCCCATCAAGGTAGAGAGACAGTCCACCCTGAGCAACTGAGGAG